AAGCGGTTTTATTACTAGCAAAGGTATTAAAAAATTATGAATTTTAAAATGAAGTAGGGATCTTACTGCAAAAATTACTAAAACAAGAATTAAAAACCACAATCACAAATGTATGAAATTCATTCCTACTTTGGCAGCTTTATACACTTATCAAATTTGATAAATTTGTGATTGTGGTTATAATTCTTATCTCAGTAATTTTTATAGCAAGATCCCTACTTCATTTTAAAATTCATAATTTTTTAATACCTTTGCTAGTAATAAAACCGCTTGAGTTGATATAAACATATTTAGTATGTGTAATATTTCAACCTGATAATGATGCAAGCAAATAACATGGTTAATGCGAAAATAGTTAGGATTTTTGAATATATAGAAAATTTATTGAAAATATGCATACATTCCCTTAGTAAAAAAGAAAGAAGTATGCGTTTACAAAAATAAAAAGGAGTTTAATGGAAGTACAGGATTCGATTATCTTACAACCAGAAAACTATTAGCTATTAAACTACACTTCGTTTAAAAAACATGCTCTGAACTTTGGTGCCGTGGGTGCGCAATAAAAGTGACAGACAAATCCCCTATTTGATTATACAAGAGTTTACAGTGGTTGCTATTGACTAGGTACTTTCTTTGTAAGCTTATCAATTCAGAATTAGGTACGGTGTGTGTGTGTGTTGGCTTTGTTGTAAAAACATTTTATACCACAAATGCTGTGTTTCAGGTAAATACAAAACACGATGCTTTATGCAGCTTTGTCTGAATTAGTTGTTATGTATTATTTCCATATCAAAATATAAAATAAAAGAAAATTTAGAGAGAAAAATCCTGACTACAAACTTAGTTCATCTGGACCAATGAACGATATTTACGACATCCTGGTCTTTACAATTCATTTTGACGCCCTCTTTTTGGAAACTCGCTAAAATAAATAGATATCCCCACAAAAAATAATAAAAAACAATTAACCACATCATATTCATGTGATGAACACTTATATACTAAAACTAAATCGATAAATAACACAGGTCTGCGAATTTAAACTTCATAAAAGGTGTTCTGGTTTTAATAACGGATTTTACATAATTCAGCTACGCAGATTTTGAAAATAATATTTTGTTTTTCTATCACGTAAGACTTTTTTACAAATCGGGAAGAAAAAACTCTTACTAAGATCAAATTTACAACAAACTTACCACAAATATATCATAATGTGTTTGGGTCACTTACACAACCTCTTCTTGCCATAGCGACGAATGAATAATATTGAAAATAAAAAATACTGTCAAAGTGCACACACAAACAAATATTATCCAGAAATGACACGTCACGCAGCCTGTTAACCGTTTATATACTAGCGGTGTGTTTCTCGTTGGTTCTAGAACGATTGATAAGACTCACGTAGCGATTGGTCTAGAGAAATCTATAGCCACTGGTTGTCAACATTTTAAGTATAACAAAATGTGACCTGATTTGAATGAAAATGACTCACTTATGGAAAAGCATATATGACGTTTTGTGAACCATGTGTATGTGATGGAGAAAAATGGATATCATTTTCGGATTCAGCGGATAAGAATTACTGTAGAACATGTAAAACTTTCAAGACAATAAAATCATCGCAGGCCTGTGTAATTTATAGCATCAAAGTTTTTCTTGAACTATTCTATAAAAACTTTAACAGAAAGCTAATACTGAATAAGGCTTAACATTTGGTTATGAAAATATCAAGAAATATGAGCAATCAATAAAAGTATTATACGAAAATGTACTTACCACATTGCTATCAATGAGATTCGTTTCTGAAAATGTAGATAAATTATTAATTTAAATTAAGTGATTTAATAATATTAAGTAAATGCAACCTAAAACACTGAACAATCATTCTAACAGTATACGTTAAGGGCATATTACTCATCTTTCAAAGCAATATATAATTTATTAATACAGTTCACACTATATTTCATATTATCATCAGCGACAATGGTAACTAACGCCCTCTACTCTAATGTAGAAACAAATAATACTTTTGGAAGTAAAAAAAAATTTAAATCAAGTTGTATTAATTTATTGTATAATTATCTATAACGATAATTAAAAATGTCGTTCATTATGTATTCGACTTTAATAAAAGTACACGATATTTATCATTATTCTCAATATAATGTCTGTATTTTGAATAACAATCGCGTGATGAAACTAGATTTCAATATAAAAATTTCATTTAGAATTTGTAATTGGCCAAAACGTTTATTCTTTTACTTAGAATAACCAACCACTAATAAATATAGCTAAAATCACCAACATAATAAAAAGGCTTGCGGAAAGGTAGTTTATCATGAGCGACAAACCAATTAATAATATCGTACAATTCTGAATGATTTGCCCTGAAACGTAGAATAGAATCGTGAGAGAAACAAAGAAATAGGGTTCAGTTAAATTATATTTTGCAAATACTATCAACCAATTTCGTTATTATTACAATAGAGTTGTGTAGTGTAAATCATATACATAGTTTTATGAGATATTGTACCTTCTACCAAAAAACAAGGGCTCAAGTTTTCACTAAAGTATTCTCGTTACCGCTAGTTTTCTATTAGTATAGTTTCTTTATCTTTTGGCTTCATTTTTATTTATGAGTGCTACAGTTTGTAGAACAGATTACGTACGTTTAAGTCTGTTTCATTCAAAGAAACATTCACATTTTGGGATATTAAAAAATAATGCATAGCAACTTCTGTGTAAAAGATGGAACTTATTCTGGATGTCAATATTAGCTTTGATTTTATAACAAAGAAGACTATTTTCATTGTAAATTCATAGTCTTTTAGAACAAACGTTTGAGACATAATTCATGAAAAAACTATCTGAAGGAGGCAGTAATACTTAAGTTTCAGACACCATGGTCGCAAAGAGTGATATCCTTATAATCAGAATATATAAACGTTTCGGAATATATTATAAATGTGATATCCTTATAATTAGAAGATATAAACGTTTCGGAATATATCATAAAATGGTATCCTTATAATTAGAATATATAAACGTTTCGGAATATATCATAAAAATGATATCCCTATAATTAGAATATATAAACGTTTCGGAATATATCATAAAATAACTTTATTATTTAAGTTTATACTTAGAATCTAATTTTCGGGCTAGCATGTATTTCAATTACATCACTGTGTGATAGTGTTCTTCTCAGGTGTCAAGCCACCTCAGGTGCTGACCTATTACTTTAAGCCATTGTTAATTTATTTCAGCTTAGTTCACAATCCTACATCTGCACAATGTAAAGGCATAAGTAATAAACGTTTTTACATATGGGATATTAGGTGGCTGCAAGGACGCTTATAGATATCCACATATAGATACGAGTAAAATATGAATCGAATATTGGCTGGATTCCAGGAGGTCTCGATTTCTAATTAAATCGAATATTGGCTGGATTCCAGAAGATTCCTATCTCTAGCTAAATCGAACATTGGCTGGATTCCAGGCGATTTCTATTTCTAATTAAATCGAATATTGGCTGGATTCCAGGAGGTCTCGATTTCTAATTAAATCGAATATTGGCTGGATTCCAGAAGATTCCTATCTCTAGCTAAATCGAACATTGGCTGGGTTCCAGGGGATTTCTATTTCTAATTAAATCGAATATTGGCTGGATTCCAGGAGGTCTCGATTTCTAATTAAATCGAATATTGGCTGGATTCCAGAAGATTCCC